GGGCGTCTGTAAAGTTCCCAGGACATTGGTAATCAAATGGAATGCGTCAGGCCTTCTGAGGAAGAGTCTGTTGTCCTAAAAATCTGATTCCCAGACCATAGCAAGTGATTTCAGCTTATTTACTGGGACCAAAATTTGGCAAATAACCATGATGTTCCAGAACCAGAGACTGTTATATAATCATCCTTTGGTGGAGACAATGAGGTCACATGTTTACCCGTCTAATCGCTGATCAGGGACATGTTTGATTGCAGATAATGTGCTCGCTGGCCCACAACTTAATTACTGAGTGTCTGAATCAACAAAGCTTTCAGATGTAGGTCTTGCCTAATGGCGCATCTGTTAAAGATCATTGCCTCCGTTCGGCTTCTAAACGAAAGGTCTGGGGGCTACAACGGCCCATTGCCGGTGCTGTTCCCGATGACCTCTCAGTGAAAAACATGCCAATTCCCACGGTTTCTTTTCTAGCCAGCAATAGACATTATTGTTTATATCCAAGGCCAAGTGGAACCAGTGATTCCAGGGTGGCAGATGTTGGTAAAAGCCTCTGGTGGCAGCGCGCTCTTTTAGGAAATTAATGCCACGCAACAGAGAGGGGGTGGTTATCTTCCCAAGCTGCTAAAGAGAATATGTTGGGAAAAGTGTAGAGAAATAGCAAGCAAGAAGCAAAGTAGGGCTAAAATGTTGAGTATGTTGATTGGCGTCCCTGATGTAGACCAGGACCTAACTACAGAGTTTGGAGTCCAATGGGTCTCTCATTAAGGACCGTTTCTCCTGGTTAATTCCTCCTTCTGAATTCCCCACCCCGTGTGTGTGCTTTGTCTGGATTGCATATGGACCTCCGCCCCCTCCCTTCTCCTGGGCCATCGTTATTATAGCCACGATGCCTGGCAATGAATTGAAGATTTGGAAAAAAAAATAAGTTTGGAGGCTTTTTTGTTTGTTCTTTGAAGATTTGAGTCTCAGCCTATGCACTATCCTTATTATTTTATCACTAAAGACAGCTGTGTTATTTCCTGTTTCCTGGTCAGCATATTTCAATGTGCAGCATGCCATTTTAAAGAAATTATTAATATAATAAACTTGGATCCACCAGATGATTTTAGAATACTAAGCAAAGGCCTAGTTTCTAATACTCAGCAAAAATTCCACACCCTGATGAGTGTCTAGCCTTCTGGAAGTTGAGATGTATCTGGCTTTTTTGATGCTTCTTACCTCCCACTCAATGCGGGAAAATTCACTGGGTGAGGAGGGTGAGAATCACCGGAGCCCAAGAATCTTTCTGTATATTGTCAGGGCCAGCAGACACAATATAAAGCAAAGCAAAACAAAATCATAAATCAAGAACAAAGCCTTCCCGGAATTTTTTTGGCCTAAAGCTTGCCATTAGCCATAAAGCAGCGTGCCTTGCGTGGGTGGGTGGATTGGAGGTTGGTATGTTCTAAAATACTTCAGGAAAGAAATTCCTACACAGGGCTGTGTCTTGTCTGGTGTACCATAGATGCGTGAGCAATATTAAGTAGCAGGAATAATTTCCGGAGAAGTCTAGACCCCTGTTCGGTATGTCCTGAGACCATGAGCCACCCATACAGTGGTAAACCTGCTTGTACCTCCCCTACCCATCACTCCTCCCAACCCACAATCAGATTTAAAAATTTAATTTCAGAGTGCAGACCTGCTTTTGCTTTGCAGCTTGTCTGCAGGCATTTGAAGCCCAAGGGGAACCTTCCTTCCCTCTGGAATCTGCATCTTAATATAGCGGCACTGAACCAGGGAAAGAGCTGGTCATAAAAAAGAGCCTTGTTATCTGATAGTGCAGCTTCTCCTAGTCAGTGGTGTCACTGAATTGTTTTGCTCAGGAGAAGTCAAATGTTAAGGGATTGATTTTTTCTCCTCTAATAAACAAGCATGGGGTGAAGGATGTGAGGCCAAGAGCATCCCAGAGTCTGAAAATGATTGCTTAATTGCGGTTGTTTTTCTTTCTGTGAAGAACACCTTTAGGTGATGATGTTGTTAAGGCTGGAATCTTATTTTACGGCTGAATCCTCCTTTTTATAATCGGCATATATTTTTTTGACAGTATGATTTGCCTTCAGTGTGGGATCTAAACAAGTTTGGTCATTTGCTTAGAGAAAAAAATGAACTCAATACATGAGCTCTAACAGTTGTCTTAGCCTGGCACCATGCCGGTAGGTTTCTTTCTCCCCTAGTGAATTCTCTATGTGTGGCTTGTTGAGTGAGTACATGATTGTGTCTGAATGTTATGATGATATATCCTCTCCTTCAGAGAAGCACCAAAATTTCATTAATGGTATGTGAGGCAAAGAACTAGCGATGGGCCACGGATGTATATATTCAGCATCAGGTTAAAAGCCCAGGGGAGCATCAATTATCAAGTTAAATGCGGTTTCTATTTCAAGCTAAATTGCAAAACAATGAGATAGTGCCACAGGCCTTCAAAGGGAACTAATTTTAATTGATCAACCCGTAGTCCTTAAATCCAAATGATCCCTGTTCTCATTGTCAAGGGGGGAACCCTAATTCTAGGTCAGCCCAAGAATGTAGAAGAGGGGATTTCACAGGAAGGTACATTCAAATGAGTAGTGTTCCTTACATGGCCCTAATCATAATGGGAGGCTTTTTGTAAATCCTCTAACTGCTCTAGTTAAAAGTGAGGGATTCATTTGGGTAATTAGCATCCCCCATGCCCTGGGCCTAACTTTTTAGACTGCTACTGTGTCATTCAGCTACTCAGTAAGTAACCTTGGAAACAAAGCTAATTACCTTCTAATCTGTGCGTGGAAATGGAAAGATCACACAAAATGACTGCTTGAGACGATTCTGGAGAGCCTTGTGTGTTCCTGCTGCCTTCTGCTCCAAAGGGAGAAACTTTCCAGTGTCCCACGAGATCCTGGACCCAGCAGGGCCTTCTCCTTTCCACTGGTGCCTCAAGCACAATATAGGAAAATGTCATATGGGGGGAGGGAGACAAAGGGGGACAGGAGGTTGTTTTAGGCAAGATGATTCTCTGGAGGAATTTGCTCTGCGTTCCCTCAGCACTTGGCATAGAGACTGACACATAGTAGTAGCCTCTAGGAAATGTGACTGAAGTGAATGTTGTGTTGTACTCCAAAATACTCACCTTATAGTAGAGTCTCTGATTGTCGTAGCCTTTGCACCATGCACACTAAAAACTGGGTATGGTACTTAGACCTTACTTAAAACAATGTTGTTTCTAGTTTGTTTGTTTGTTTGTTTGTTTCCTCTCTCTCCTAATGAACCTTCAACTTATCTGTACCTTATTTCTCCCCCATGGAAACGTTGCATAATGATTGGTTGTTTACAAACCTATAAAAAAAAAAATACAAAGCTGTTTCAATATGATGTATGGGTTTTTAAGGAGCCATTTAGCATGAAATATATGAATTTTTTAATTATATGTTCACTGAAAGCAAAGATGAACTTATAATTTTTCCTATATTACACTCTATGTGCTGTCCAATGAATGATAGAATACAGAGCTTCCTAAATCCTATATATAGTGAACTTGAGCCCTAACAAAGTAAAATACATATTAAATTTGAAGCGAAAATCCATTGAATTTGTCTAATGAATTTGTATTATGGAGCAAATTTGCCTTGGGAGACTGCACTAAAATATGAAGACAGTTTTTTATAATATTAAACTGGAAGTTCATTTTGAAACTGAACATGCATAATTTATATTTAAACAAAATGACTACTGAGGTAGATTTTGTAACCCTATCCAAATACCCCAGTTAGGACAGAGTGAGACTGCCTGAGGCAGCCCAAAGCCTTATTGTTTAGCAACTGTTCATTTGGTCTGCTGATAGATGATTAGGCTGGCATATTTTGTTGTTTTGCTCTGATTGATATTCACCACCCTGTATGTATATACCAGATGTAGATCACCAGGATAAACCATGGCCCTGCGAAACACCTGGGACCTACGACCAGATGGGCGCCCCTTCAAGAAAACCTAAACACATCAGGTACCGCTGACTCTGCAGCCAAGCATGTGAAGGCAATGATAGTCCTGCATTTGGAAAGCAATCTCTACAAAACAAAAAAGCGAGAAAGTCATCTACGCTTGGGATGTTTAGAAGTACATCTGACTTTTTACAATGGCTAGCTCTGAAGCAAGGCTCAAAGTCATTTAGCACGAGACATGGTCCTAAGGTCTCTGCATACCAGGTGGGTGACATGCTTGCTTTTCAAACAGTGTGATATTGATAACCTGGCCCTTCAAATCTTCATATTGTGAAGTTGCCAGGGCATTTCAGAAGATTACAAGACTCTAGAGCAGGCATCCTCAAACTACGGCCCCGCAGGCCACATGCGGGCCGCCTAGCACATTTATCCGGCCCTCCCAGTGTTTTTGCTGCCGCTGCCTGTCCTGCTTAGCAGGCGACTCGTCCCGCACTCACAGTGCGCATGTGTGGAATGTGCGGCCGCACTCTCCAGTGGTCTGAGGGACAGTGAACTGGCCCCCTGTTTAAAAAGTTTGAGGACCCTTGCTCTAGAGGAGCATGGATGATTCTTTTTGGTCTATGATAGTGTTGGAATTGATTAAGTTGGCATGAGAGGCTCTCCATCTTAGCGGCAGGAGACATGTTTCATCTTCAGACAGCTGCTGTACCCCTCGCTCTCCTTCTGATCTCTCAGCTTTACATTATTGTGCTTTATAATGAACTCTATTCCATCTGGGGGAGTTTCTGAGCTTCTTTAGAAGTAAAATGTACTCACCATAAAGGTCATCCTTGGAGGAGGACTATCAATGATACCTAATTCCTCAGGCATATTTAACTTAATATGCAGTGATCAGTCAGCCATAGTCTCACCCATGGTACCCAATAATTCAGAATGAGAAGCCCCCACATAAGCAATATGGGATTTGACTGACTCATATCTCATTTCTCTTCATATTAGGGAATATGTAGCTATCTGAAGATATGAAAATTAATTTCGTTTAGAATCACATTTTACATTTACTCAAATATTTATTTGAACTCATAAAAAGTTTATTGACATAATTTAAAAGGTGAAGAACTAAAATACATTCCAAATATTGACCAAACTCTGTGAGAACTAGCTTAGAGAACTTCCCATCAAAATCATTCTTACACACATTGCCACATCCCTCCCCATAAAATTATATCCCTCCTCAAAACCACACCGTCCAGGTGGTGAATTCACAGACTGATTTCTTCTGCAAGATGCCAAAAATGAAGATTAAATTAAAGTGAGAAATGCAGCCAACTAGAAGGAAGAGATATAAATGTACAAACAGGCCATTTCTGCTAGGGTGGTTCATAGTCATCATACAAATATATAAAATTTCTTAGCTATATTCACTTGAATCCATCCTCTTCCTCTTTAATTCTTCACAACAAGCCTGCAAAAGAAAAACCAAAGGAATCATCAGGTTTTTTTCCCCCAGGTTTCATTAAGGCATAATTGACACATAAAAATTATATGTATTTACGGTATACAATGCAATGTTTTGATATATGCATACAGTGTGAAATGATCCAATCAAGCTAATTAGCATATTCAGCACCTCATGTACTTATTTTTTTTTTTTGTGGTGAGAATACTTAAGATCTAATCTCTTGGCAATGTTCAAGGATATGTTATTAACCAGAGTCACCATGCTGTACAATAGATCTTCAGAACATATTCCTCCTATCTAACTGAAATTTGGTATCCTTTAACCAACATCTTCCCATCTCCTGCCTGCCAGCAACCCCTGGCAACCACTTATTGCTTCTATGAGTCCAACCTTTTAAGATACTACATATAAGATCATATGGTATTTGTCTTTCTGTGTCTGGCCTATTTCACTTAGCATAATGCCCTCCAGGTTCATCATTACTTTAGTTTTCATAAGATATTTTGGGGGACAGTCTATGTATCAATATGATAAGCACAAGTCAAACTTGAAGACCCCATTTTCACTTGAAAAAATTCCTGTCTCAGTTCCATGAATGTAAAGTGAACTAAGAGTTGAAGGTGTGGCTATCAACTTTGGCTCCAGTGATTTAGTAATTCCAAACTAGGATGGCTTCCCTCTGAAGGATTAGAGTATAATGCTAATTTTATTTTTATGACTTGAAAGACCTTTGATGCCTGAGGTAAATTTGCATTCATGGTTTCAGTTTTTCACCCCTCCCTATATCCATCCTCATTGCCATGTAACTTTGTGGCTTCCTACCATTGTGGGTGGGGTATAATTCCCCATGCCTGAGTTTGGCCACATGACATTCCTTGGCCAATAGAATGAGACAGAAGTGATAGTGTGCCAGTTCTGAGCCTACCCCTCAAAAGGTATTACATGTTTTTGCTTACTCTCTCATGCTTCTGCCATTGCTGTACCAAGGGTATGCCCAGGCTCGCCTTCTGATTCCAGGAGAAGGACAAGAAACACGTGGAGCAGAGCCACCCTAGCTAAAGGGCCCAACCAGGCCCAAAGAGCCCAACCAGGTCAGCAGAGCCCCCAGCTGATCTGCAGATGCAGCAGTGAGTCCAGACCAGATCAGCTGAGCCCAACCTAGGTCAACTGAGCCAAAAATGCATGAGCTAGAATAAGAAATGATTTTGTTTTAAGCATTGGATTTGAGGGCAGCTTGTTATGTAGCAATAGGTAATTGATACGGTGCCATTTCTTTTCAAAGCTCTTGTAATGCAGGGATTCTTGAATATCATTTACACACTTATTTTCCACTAGTCATTGGTGTCATTCCTTGTGTGCTTATGTGAAGGGACTGAATCCTTTCTAAAAAATAGAATGCTTACCTTATTTTATCACCAATGATTGGAGAAAGAACACTCCACAGACAAGGGTCCTCCTGCTGCTGGGGCAGAAACTATGGTTTGGCATTCGCCACAACCCTTGCTTTTCTCTACCACAAAAGCTGGTGAGCCAAATATTGTACTCTCTTTCTCAGTCTCTCTTACAGCTAAGGGGAGCCAAGGGACCCAGTTCTGGCCAATGAGCCCTGAGGAGAAGTTGGCAGCAGAGATCTATTTAAAAGCTTTGCTTTCCTGTGTATTTCTTTAGAGATCACAAAGCCTGTTGTTTCATTGAACATTTAAAGCATTGCTGTGGTGCAGGTTGTGTTGTACTCATCGTCGAGACAAACTATCCATAGAGGTTCAAAAAGCAAAGTGACTAGTTCAAAGTATCATAGCTGGTAGATGGAAAAGCTGGGATTTTTAACTCAGGTGTCCTGACTCCAGGGCTCTTTCCATTCCACTAACGGGAGGTTTGGATGGTTCTTGAACCAGAGGGAAAGGTAGGAAGGCATTAATGATTATAAAACTGAAAGTGCCACCAACAGGAGTCAGCACAGGCTCTCATATTTCTCTAGCATTTTATTGTTCAAAGAACACAATATGAGATCTACCCTCTTTTTGTTTTTAAATTTATGATATTATGCGGGTACACTACATGTACTCTCCATCAGTTGGTACTAAGAGATCTACTCTCTAAATATATGTTTAGATCTACCCTCTAAATAGATGTTCAAAGTCTCATAGCTGGTAAATGGAAAAGCTGGGATTTTAACCCAGGTGTATAAGACATCATCGTTGACCAAAGGTACAATGTTGTACAGCAGATCTCTAGAGCCTACTCACCCTGCTTAACTGAAACTTTATGCCCATTGATGAGCAACTCCCCATTTCCCCTCTCCCGCACCCCCTGGCCACCACCATGCCACTCTTTGATTCTATGAGTTTGACTATTTTAGCTACCTCACAGAAGTGGAATCATGTCTTTCTGTGACCGACTTATTTTACTTTGCATGCTGTCCTCAAGGTTTATCCATGTTATCACATATTATGGTATTTCCTTCTTTTTCAAGGCTGAAAAGTACTCCTCTGTGTGTGTGTGTCTGTGTGTGTACCACATTTTCTTTATTCTTATTGGTGTACATTTAGGTTGTTTCTTGTTTTGTTGTTATTGTGTTTTTTGTTTTTTGTTTTTTTAAGACAGAGTCTCACTTTGTTGCCCGGGCTAGAGTGCTATGGTGTCAGCCTACCTCACAGCAACCTCAAACTCCTGGGCTCAAGCAATCCTGCTGCCTCAACCTCCCAGGTAGCTGGGACTACAGGCACACACCACTGTGCCTGGCTAAATTTTCTATTTTTAGCTTGTTTGGCTAATTTCTTTCTATTTATAGTAGAGATACGGTCTCACTCTTGCTCAGGCTGGTCTCGAACTCCTGAGCCCAAGTAATCCTCCCACCTTGGCCTCCCAGAGTGCTAGGATTACAGGTGTGAGCCACCGCGCCTGGATTGTTTCCTGTTTTTTAAGAAATTATCCATTTTTGATCCAAGCCAGTCACCAAGAGAAAGTAAGATACCACCTCCTTCCCATCTTAGGGTTTCTGAGTGACCAGCAATTTCACAGCCTCACCCTGGAGTCCCATGTCAGTCCTGTCTCTGACAATTCTTTCTCATGCACCCCACACTCTGAGTTCACTAGACCGCATACTGCTTCTGTAACATGGCAGGAGCCTGCAGGCCTCTCCCTCTTTGCTTATAACTTTTGACTAAACTCCCACCTCCCCTGACTGTGCATGTAACATGCTGAATTATAATCATCTGTTTAGATGTATCATCTCGCTCCTCTCATGTATCTTCTGCTATAGCTGTCCTGCCACTAAGCTGTGACCTTCTGAAGGATATGAACATGTCCTATTCATTATATCCATTGCCTAGCATGGCACCTGAAATATAGCAAGGGCCCAGAGATTGATGAGTTGGACCACTGGAGAAATAAAAACAAGAAAAGAACTAGAGTTGCAGTTGTAGTCAAACCCACATTCTTCAACGTGACGCAACAGTAAGGAGCAAGGGGTCATAGATGCAGTAAACCAGGAGTGTTGATTTGATGTGCTATGTCCCCACCATGCTGCCAATTCGGCTCTAGGCCCCAGCCATAGCTCCATCAGGTCCAGGGTATGCTCTAGCCACTTTACTGCTGTGGTCACTGTGCTGGGTGACATATGGCCAGCCTCTCTGCCTAAGTGAGAGGCCTATGACAAGCTGCCCTTAAAGCCAAGACATTCCTTGGGCTTCTCTGAGCAGCATGGACGGGGTGATGATCCACAGCAAATTGTCGCTGAAGCATGTTCTATGAGGTGTGATTTTCTCCAAGAAGCGTCCGGGCTGTGAAGCACCATCTGCAACCCAGACATGGGTATCATTTATATGACAGGCTTGATATATCATCATGTATCTGCCCCAGGAAAGTGAAATGATGGCTATACTGAGAAATACAGAATGGGCAATTTGCATTTTAAAAGCCATAAGATGCCCCTCACAACTAGGCTCAGTTTGTGAGCCTCTCTGGCTTTAAGGCAGTTTTGTAAACACAGGGAAATCTCCATCCAGTTTGCTCCAACCACCGTGACCACTGTGAGATGACCATATTATTTAGAAAAAATAAATACATGGAATTCTTCATGGGACACCAGCCCCCGGGGAACTTGCTCTTCCCCTTCACTCACTGTGCCTGAGAGCCAAGGAGGCCTGGAAAACTCAGGTTGAAGAGGGGGATGCTAGGCCGGTGCCTTCATCCTGTGCTTCATCTGGGGGTGGAGAACAGCAGTGATGGTACCAGTTTCCAGCACCTACTATGTGCCAGGCAAACCACCACTGACTTTATACAGTTACCTCGTTTAATCTGCAAAGAGAACCTGATTCTTCCTTGTAGAAGGAGCTAGGCATGAGACAGCAGACAGAAGAGCCACTGCAGTTGTCCTCCTGCAGGTCACCCTGTCCCCTCCCCTGTCCCTCCCTCTCCAGCGTCCCAGTAGAATTGAAGAGGGCCCAGCAAGCCTGGACACAGGCCTCTGCTGACAGATAAGGTCAGATCCAGTCCTTCCCAGAGTACAAAACCCCCAGAGGGCCAGAGTCTCCATCCCTGGCCTTGCGGGACTCAACATGTCCTTGGGATGTCTGTATGACACAAGAATACAAAAATTCGGGAATCCAGAGACCTGGGCTCCCTGCTCTGTGTCAGGGATCAAATTTATAAATGAGAAACAATGGGAAGGGATCCAAAGTTAAAACTGCCCATGCTGTAAAGCACACTTGTTTTTCAGGTGTTGGAATGCAAGAGTGTTGGGCTGTCTCCAGGGCCACGCTGCTTTGCTGCCTAGACAACAGCTGTCAACATTTTCCTGTGTCCTGTTCTCCGGTAGGGGACATTTGTGAGAATGATGGGGAAGGTGAGGCACCCAGCTGAAAAGTTTCTCTCCAGTTACACTGCACACCTTTTATACCCAAATCAAAAGACACAGAGGCCCAACCTCTAGTTTACATTTGGAAGGGCACACTTTGGCTGATGCGAGGGTGATATACCAGATATCTCCCTTGTGCCACCCT